CTGGACCACGTCGAGACGCGTAAGGCCAGAGATTCGTCTAAGAAAGCCCATTTCTGCAACTTATACCCGTGTTCAAAGCATTTCAGTCATGTTCCATGACTCATGGCAGTAGGTAAACATGGGGATACAGATCGAATTGAATACCGAGCACATAGTTTTCAGACTGATCTCTGCTTTAGTCACAATGGATACTGCTAGTTCACGCAGAAAGTCGCTGGCTGTTCCAATTCGCCGGTCAATCTCTTCCTCCAACTAGTAAATACATTTCCGAGGTACTTCTCCACCTGCTCCACTGCCTCTCCGTTTAATTGATAAGAGGAACGGGTAGGAGAACCAGAAAGCACTGGGCATTTCGTTTTAAATGCGTTCAGAAGCTGCCAGCCAACCGGCGAAGACGGAAGATCAGTTCTGGAAGATGCAAATAAAACATGGTCGCCTGCAAACAACAACCGTCTCGACCTCACATCTCCTAGAGCGATACACTCATCGCCTGGCTTTACCTAACTATTCTGCCCATCCACAACGCAAACAGGATAGGGGACAGGACGCACTCTTGGTGGAGATCAGACCCAACATTGAATTGTTTCAACTTTGCGCTATTCACTTTGACGCAGCACCTGCTACCAGAATACAGTGATTGGATGGTGCTTAGCAGCTGGTCAACTATCCCGTATGCTAAGGCATGACCGCAGACTATTGGGTGGTATCCGTTAAGGGCGTACTCCCAGGATTTCTCAACAATCTGGCGCAGGGCAAATATATGCTAAGTGGTGCTTCGTCCGGGTCGAAAACCATACTGCTTTTCTTGTATCTTGAGGTCAGTTATTTGGCGGTACTTCCTTTGATGTAGCTTTGCGTTGACTTTCCCTTGGAGGCTCAACAACGCAATGCCCAGATAAATGGAGTATTCGTTGTGGTCTCCCTTCTTGAATACGTGTACAATAACCTCTTTCACCAGTCCGCTGGAGTCTTCCCGGCAGTTTGACAGACACGTGTAAGGCATCACATGCCTTTTTTAACTAATGCCTTGAGCAATTCAGGGCGGAATTCCTCCCCAGCAACCCTTCAGTTTTTGAAGCTTTTCACAACTTGTGCAATTTAATGTGCAGAGATAGGAACATCTGTTCCCTGCTGCTCTACAAGCGAGATATCCTGTGACTGTGGCGGAGTTAAGGAGTTCCTCAACGTACTAACATTCCATCGCCGAAGAATGTCATCATCCTTGGTAAGAGGTTGCCTAGCCCTGTTTTGCAAGACACATGGACTACCATTCTATTCAACCTGCAGCCGGCGGATGGCCTGCCAGAATATTTTGTTTGCAGTGTGGAAATTCAACTCCAACACCTCACCGAACTTCTCCCAGAAATCTTCTTTGGCCTTCGCCACTGCTTTCGCTGCCGCATTGCGTGCCTCGACATATCGCACTTGAGTGTGAGGCTCTTTATTTTCAAGCCATTTCTTGAACGCTGCTTTCTTCTCTTTAACTGACGGTTGTACCAATGGTGTCCACCAGAAAGTTGTTTTATGACCTCCAGGTGGAGGGCAAACCCGTTTAGGTCTGCGGCATTCGGCTACAGGTTTCAGAGTGGAAAAAACCACTCGATTTCCACACCAGTTGTCATCTCCGGGATTTCTTCAAACCGTCATGCGATGTTGTTTGCAATTTTTGCTCTCGTGTCTACCGAAAATAATGACTCCCATTTGATTTACTGCTTGCTTCTGCCACCAGATCTTCGTATGGTACTCCATTTCTTACATCGCAGCGTGCCAACAACAAAATGATCAATTGATAGTTGTGCGCCTCACTTAACGCGAACATCCATTACTCATTTCTATCCGCTGAGGTTCAGGAGTCCAGAGCATTGGCGTTTCATTGCTAAGAGTACAAAAATGTCGAGTTGGTACTTTACGGCTTCATTAACCTCCCGTTATCTTCATCTTCATCTTCCATCGCCGTTTCTCCTTTCGGATCGCGAACTTGCCATTATTCCATCTCAAATAAAACCGTTTTTATATAGTTTAGGGAATGCAAGAAAGAGAATCAGAAGCAGTGATCATCAACGTAGTGGATCAGAAATAAAAAAATACCGGAAAACTTCTCCGGGATAAGAAATGTGAAGTTCGACCAAAAAAAAATCACGAAGCAAGGAAAGAAAATCCCAAAGAATGGAAGACTGGGAAATCAAAGATCAAATGAATGGAACTTTGCAAAACTATAAGAAAACTTATTAGAGAAGTCTTCGGAGCATACAGCTGTGTCACTCTACGGCGAACAATTCGTTACGAGTTATATGTAAGGAAGACATTATGCTCAATTTGTTTTAGTTCCGTATTTGGTTCCTTGAGGAATCAGATAACCGAAAAGGTATATGAAGCTGATAATCATGATGTAAAAATTGGAACTGCTAGTATGAACCAAACAACTTCAAAATCGAAAAGGACATCGGACATGATGCAGCAATGTCACCGAAGTTATTCACAACAACTGCAGGAGAGGCTTTCTCCGTTGGGACTGCACATAAATGGGCAGCACAGAAACCACCTGAAATTTGTGATGTTGAACACGCTTCTACAGCGTACTGCAAGTATGACCTACTACAGCTTGAAGTATGAAACCCTGACTTTCTCAAAGCGCGAGAAGAACTGCGAAGTAGAACCAAACTGCCGACGAATGAAAGTAGGGCTGAAAATAAACCCAAACAACGCAGATCACATAAAAAAATGCAAGGCTGCTCGACCTGCTGAAATCAACGGAATTAGGCGAAAAATCCAATACTATCTGAGAAAACGCATGAATTCAACGGAGAACAAGAGAAATCGTTTGAAACACTATTGAAACACCTGAATATTGAAATATCCTTGTGCTTGAAAATCAACGTTTTCGACCAGTGTGTTCGAGAGTGCTCACCTCTGGGTTGGAAATATGGATCCTAAGTGAGGAAACTGTTCATAAACTGTAGACTACGCAACTTAGCATGGAAATATATATAAGGGAAGAACAAAAAAACAGGAGGACGGTGCAAGTCTGCGATATCTTTAGCTGAGTGAAGAAATTGAAATGAAAATGGGCAGGGCCTGTTGCAAGAAGAACGCCTATTGCAGGAACACAGCCATCACACTGCACTAATAGAGTAAACTGCCTATAGGACGATCTCCAGTTCAATGGGAGAATTATCTCAAATAAACTAGAATAAAATGAATGAAAATGGGAGAAAACAGATGTACGTGACGAAATCTTGGCGATGTTTTCATCCAGCAGGGAACTGGAAAGGCTAATAATGATTTGCTGTACTAGTAGTTGAGCGAATGCCGAGCGGGTCTGTTAGGACGAGGATCCGTTTTCCCAGCTGCTTGAAATGTTTCGTAATTTGTAGACGAAGCGTACCCCTAACCGGTCGAAAAACTTTATTACTCATTGACAACAGATTGTAACACTTTTCGCGACAAACGTCATAAATCTCTTCAAGGCCGAATTGGCACTTTTATGCATTTTTTACACCCTAGACCAATCTGCATCCATCTGCAGCAAACTTCCTATTCGGCCTTGTCAGACTCAGGCGTTATAAATTATTTACAAGCTCGTAATCATCCCACCTAATTTATATCATCCATAATAAAGCGATGAATTAATGGGATCTGTAATGGGCACCATAATCAACTCTGATGTCGTTGATTCAGGCCGTTGTCTGAGGCGATTCGCGCTACCCATCTGTTGAACATAAAGCAAAACATTCACGATTGAGTTGTCATCTATCGCCTGAAACACGATGGGAATTTTCATGGCCGATATAGCCAATCCATCATCTAGATTAAATCGATCATCACGAAATACGGCAATGGCCGTACGAGTCTGCGCTACATTCAGTAGGTCCGGCGGGGCCTAATATGATAGAAAGAGTCCTCCCAAAACGCTTTCATCAATAAATTCGCTTTTGAACCGAAGGGCAGTCTCAGAGTCTTGGACACCCTCTAAGCAAGGATGATGACATTCTTCGGCGATAGAGGGAGTACTTTGAGGAACTCCTTAACTCCGCGCAGCCGCAGGAAGACTTGCATGTAGAGCAGAAGGGTACGGATATTACTACCTCTGTAGATAATATTACACAAGCTTCGTAAAGCTTCAAAAATGGAAAGGCTGCAGAAATTGATGAAATCCGCCCTGCGGTGCTCAGGGCATTAGGCAAACAAGGCATGTGCTGGCTTGCACGTGTCTGTCAAACTGCGATGACAGCGGGAAAGATACCAGCGGACTGGAGAACGGGAGTTACTGCACCAGTATTCAAGAATAGAGATCATAAAGAATGCTCCAATTATATGCGCATTATGTTGCTGAGCCTCGAAGGTAAAGTCTACGCAAAGGTGCCAGAAAGGAGGTGCCGCGAGAAGGCTGACCTCAAGTGTGGCTTCCGGCCCGGTCGAAGCACCATTGACCATATAGATTGTTGAGAAATCGTGGGAGACGCCGCCCGGTGTACATGCGTACCGTTGACAGAAAAGTCTATGACCGGTTCCCACACAACAATCTGTGGTCATGCCTTGGCGCATATGGGTTAGATGGCCACCTGCTAAGGGCCATCCAATCACTGCATTCTGAGAGCAGGTGCTGCGTCCGAGTAAATTGCGTTAAGTCGAAAACATTCAACTTTCGCACTGGTCTCCGCCAAGGCTGCGTCCTGTCCCCTATCCTGTTTGTGTCGTACATGGATAGAATAGTCAGGAGCTGCCAAGGAGATGAGTGTATCGGTATAGGAGATGTGAAGACGAGAAGGCTCCTGCTGCTGTTTGCAGACGACTTTGTTTTATCAGCATCTTCTGAAACTGATCTTAAGTGCTTTCTAGAAAGATTCGCAGCCGAGTGCGACGTGACCGGCATACGTGTGAACATCCAAAACGAAAAGCCTAGTGCTTTCTAGTTCTCCTGACTGTTGCTCTCTTCAGATTAACGGACAGGCAGCGAAATTGAAGTACCTCGGAATTGTATTT